AATCAGGTGAAACAGAGCGTAGCACTGTTTAACACGTTGACGACCGCCGTTGTGCGCGTACTGCTTCAACATTTTTCGTATTCTCTCATCAATAGGCATTAATCCTTCAGCGTTTTCATCAGTAATGAAAAAACTGTTTTTCGGATCCAATAATGTACATGGACCGTTGTGGAACACAAAAAGGAAAAACACCAAATAAAATAAGGAAAACTAGTCTGCTCCATGTGAAAGTGTGGTATGACATCATACCACACGGTCGTCAACGTGTTAGGTGAAGAGGTAAGAAAAACTCTAGATCAATACCCTTACCGCTTTCTGCCTTTCGAAGATCCGCTTTCAAGGTATCTACTCTGGATTGCAGCTGAGCAATTCGGGTTTCGGTTTCAGCGGCTTCTTTCTCCAAGCGACGAGCTTTACTGCGCTCGTCCAGAAGCTCATTATTGAGCTGAAAGTTAAAAGTTGAGGCGCCAAACAACTTTCTGCTTAGCAAAACGGCCAGTAGCGCTCCTTCGATTGGTTTGGAAAAAAGTGTATACATGTGAAATTATTCATTTTACATTAAGGACATTTAAAGGCACATTCTACGATCACCTTGAGGGAACTAATTCGTCCAAGAGAAGGAGAAACTAGAAACAACGCGACCACAGAGCTTGTTAGAAATTCCAAATGTTTATCCTGTGAGACAGATAGGCGCTATGAGTCTTTGTTTCACACTCTCAACCCCCGAGATGTGGATCGCTAGACTCTGTCCACCATTCGAAGCACTTTCATATCCCCGACTGATAACTATAAAATGGCAAAGGGGCATGCGCTTAATTACCGTAATAAGCAACGAGACCACTATTTCTGATAATGAGTCTAACAGATGGATCCCGTGATACCACTGGATTTGATAAAAAAAATTCACCATCAACCGAGTGCCCAGTTTCGTCTTACCTTCCCATTTGACCCAGCTCAAAGACAAATCAGGCAATGCAATATTTCGATTCCCCTCTGACTTTTCGGAGCGAGTAAAGGTCGACGGACTACTTGAACTTAGCCCTTTAAATCTCCTCTGCGCTCCCTCGCGGGACCCTCTCCTCTCCAAGGCTTAGTCCTAGGGTCTCCGGACATCTGTCAACCGTGAGGCTAGGCAATTCAGCGTTTTGTTGTGCTGTCTGGGAGCTCTCACACAAGCGCACTATTACAGAATCTCTGCTTTCTCTACGTCCTTTAAAAGGCTTAGTCCCACCACCACAAAGAACGTCTGCTTTTCCTCCTCCACTCTCACCTCCCGGTTGACAGAAGCCTTGTAACCTTAGTGCTAGAGCATTCACCCGTTCTCTAATCGTCTATGCTCTAGCCATCGCGGCAGGAC